AAGAATCCTGGAAGGCCAGGATTCTGGGTGGAGGGAGGCCTTCACACTTGTGAGTTAGAGATGAGTCCCAATCACATTCTCAAAACAGAGGTTAATCCCACTCTATCCTCTCATCATAGTGCTGCCTTGAAGTGACCTCTTACAAGCACCTGGCTGAGCGCTAGCTGGCCAGCAGCTTCATCTATCGGAGCAGACGTGTTGCTCTTGCTCTCCCTGCTCAGGAGACTGACTCTCCCCATGACCTGCACTGCTCTTAGCTTACTCCTCCAATAAACTCAGGGAACCCTAGGGTTAAGGTACAGCCCACTTTGTTATGTATGTGGCTACCTGTAATAAGGGGGGCTTGCATGCCCTGAGACGATATAAGTTGATGTTAAGAATTTTCTCTCTCTCTCTGCACAGACCTGGTTCCTGAAGCCATGGCAGAGGCGAGCACCCCAAACGTTTGTGTGTCTCTTAGTTTCTTCTCTTTAATTTCACAACCATCCCTTAAGACCCATCTGGATGTGAGGCTGGATCTCACATATATGTAAGTGTGTAAGGAATTAGATCGCTCACAAGAACACACACACTTGCTATGAGACAACACATGGATCTTTCCCTTGCAGCGCTCTCAGAAGAAAACAATCATGTAAGAACTCACCGAGTGACAAGAGGGTTTCGGAGGCCACGTTTCTGATTTCTTCTGTATCGGACTGACATAGCATCACCAGCATCTTAATGCTCTCAGTAGCCTGTGGGGGCGCGGGGGCGGGAGATAATAGAGTGCTGTGACATTTATGTTTAAGGTTAGTTGGCACTTTGCATTTCCCACTGAGTATGAAAACCAAGCTCACTACCACTGAGTCCATGCCAACTTATAGCAACTCCACAGGACAGGCAGAACTGCCCCTGTGAGTTCCTGAGACTGTGGCTCCTTAGGGGAGTAGAAAGCCCTGTCTGTCTTCTGAAGAGTTGGGGGTGGTTTTGAACTGCTGACCTTGCAGCTAGCAGCCCAATGCATAATCGTGATACCAACAGGACTCCGTTCTTACATGGAAATTTCCAAACCTAACTGGGTGCTGGGTCACTTATGGAGTCCATTAAAAGTGTAGATTCCGGGACTCCATTCCCGATGTACAGTATTGGTTGGAATTTCCTGGGCTTCTGCTTGCAGGAGCTCTGATGACCCCATGCATGTGGGTCTAGAGAGGTGACGTTATCAGTATGTTTTCCCAGCATAGCAGAGATTCTCCTGCTTCTTTGCACTTTGTCACACTGCTTCCAAAACAGCTCTAAGGTGAGAAATCTGAATATTAGGCTTCAGGGGCCTGCTGGCACAGTGGGTTAACTGCTGGTCAGGGGTTCAAACCCACCAGCCACTCGGTGGGAGAAAGATGAGGAGGCTGCCTGATTCTCTACAGATTTCCAGTCTCTGAAACCCAAAGAGCAAGTCCTA